ACTCAGTAAAAGCAAGAAATCTGAAACATTTTCCATTTTATATGCCTTAAATCATTTTCTTCTAGCATTACAACTTGCATTTATATACCTTAGAACACCTTCTTAGACCCTCCAATCTTTATACCTTGCACTTACCAACTTCTTAGACTCTCAACACTTTCTTAGAGGCTTTCCTTCATAACTTTCATTTATTAACCTTGAAATACATTCTTAGACCCACAAACTTTTTTAGATCCTTATAACTTAAACTTTCATATCCTAAGAACTTACATAAACTTTATACTTTTTCTATCCAGTTACTTACTTCCAGGCACAGGTGGTTGATTACTGAAAGCAGTCATTTAAATGAAGGAATAGTAAAAAACTTACATTGAAATCTGTTTACCTTTTAACATGAAGCCTATAAGCAAGGCAAACTTGTTTGCCTTTTTAGATAAGAGAGTTAATACCCACTAGTTTTAACTAGCTAATGAATTGACTGCTGAAGAGTAGGGCTGTTCTTTAGGGCTACAAAGCTACCATTGGCTTAGCCATCAATGTGATCAGAGACCTGAGAAGGATAAATTGAGTCAATCAAAATGACAGAGGTAACTAGTCAGTTCACCACTGAACTGAATTGTTCCCGGATCCTGTGGTTTCAGAGCAGGGGCAGTCCAGCCATCAGGCACAGAAGATGAGAGCCTGTTTCTGTTAAAAAAAAAAAAAAAACATATGAGACTGACCTCACCTTGTTTTCAGCAATGTGAGACAATAACTCTCCAGATGTCCAGTTTTGTCCACAGTTCAGGCTGAGCCTTAGCAGTGGGCCAGTTGGCACAGTCTTGCCCAATGGTCAGCATACCACAATCCAGAGTTGAAGTCATCTGTCATTGTGCCCAAATCTTTTCAGAGACCTTAGGGAGCTACTGCTAGGATTTAGGACTCTGTTTGTCATACTAAGCTTACACATGCGCTAAATGCCATAGTCAGCAGATCTCTGAGAAGCTTGAGGGTCAGCATATCTGAGTTAGTATTTGTCTGCCTTTAGTTGTCTGCTCTAAACTACATCCTGTCAACCTTATAGTCTATACTCATGGCATATTCTGTAAATAAGTGTTTTAGGACCACATCTATTTCAAGTAAATCTAAATAGGCAAACTTTGTAGTTGCCCATCCTAGGCTTAACCTTGAAAATGTAAACAAGAGACTAGATAAAGCTCAATCTTGTAATCAGCTGTATCAGTTATTAGCATATCTTTAAGTATATTTCTGAACTAAAATCAAAGCAAAACTTTCAATCATAGATACAGTTCATAGAGGGACTGGCATATCTTGCTGATCCCATTACATTGCATTATTAAGACTGAATAGCAAAAGCTTACAGGACAGAAGTTGCACTTGGCTCTAAATAGGGTACTGAACACAGTTGGCAGCCCTCAACAAAAAATGGCAGCAGATCATGACTCTCCCACAACCAAGATGGCTGCCAATCATGTGACTACCCTTAGTTAAGATGGTGATGAAACCATGGCCCCACCCTCTTTATCCCTGAATCAACATGGTGGCCAGCCATGTGGTGTTACAGGTCATGGCGGGCAATTTAAAACATAGCCATTAGATGTCACTGCTTGTTCTGCTGTCCCCCATGGTATTCACCTGTGGAGCATTAGCAGTTTCTTGTAACCAAGTTCTAACATTGTAAACAATTAAATGTTTTTAAAATTAATATATCCCAACTTAATGTATCTTTAGAATCACCTATTTTCAGAGTCACCAATACAGTTTCTTGTTAATCTGAACTGACTTGTATAACTTTAAATTTTTAGTATTATACTATAGGTAAGAATATAACTTTGACCTTTCAAATAAAAAAAAAATCCATACCAATTTAAAATGAGACTTGTCTTCTTAGTCTAAAAGGAGATAGGATAATAAGCAGAATTCATTACAACCAAGAGGTTCTGTAATTGTTTCCCTACACCATGTGCCAATTTCAAGATGGCAGAGTCACATCACATGGCAGGCTGTAGACCATGTGGTCCACATGGTTGCCATTTAAAAACATCTGTGTTTCTATAGATGTTACAAATGCATGTGCACACATATATATGTTCTAAACAAGGGTTTGAAATTAAACTTTAAACACCATATCCAATAACTAGTATTCTATAACCAAGACACACAGAACTTAGTAATACCATATACATTTCAGATCAGTCAGAAATAAACATGTACTGGCCATGCATACATTTAAAACAGACAGACAAAGCTTTCCTTACTTCCTGCAGCTATAATTTCAAGAGAAGAGCACTTTGTTATCTGTTGAATCCAGGCAGGAGTTGGGGCGTGTCAGGAGTGTTGATCAGTTGCAGAGACGCCAAGTCTCTGCACACTGCACACTGCAGCCACCCCTTGGCACCTCCTCCACTCTGCCCTCTCATGCCCACTGCCACCGTCGCTACTGAGCGCCCCTCGATCCCTGGAAGAAAAGTAGGCACCATCACGGTGGAAGTACGCAACTTCCCCTCCTGGAGGCCAGGCATGCTGGTGATGCACAAGCAGCGCTAGTCACAACAGCGAGAGCCCCCCCCCCCCCCCCGCCGCCATCTCTGCACTTTTCGGATCCTGCAGGCCTGTGGCAGCAGCGGCAGTGGATGTCCGCCTTCTGATCCTGCCACCCTGGACCTGAGGCACGTTCCCAACCATGCCTAGAGTCACGTGGCTAGTCACATGTGGAGTCACCTGCCAGGAAACTGTGTGCCTGAGCCCAATGGGCAGGGTCACCACCACTACAGCTCTGTTGGCCTAGAACTAAACTCAAGGGGGTAGATGAAGTCTCACCCATGGTTAAATCACTTCAAGAAGCCCCACCAACGACAAGGACATTCAGGAACAGATACAGACAGATGTTCCCGGGGAAATCATAAGCAAAAGCCAAAGGCTTGGTCAACCAAGGAATTGCAGTACCAATTGCTGAATCCAGAACCAACTGAGAGCTTTCATACTCTCCCAAAGAGGGACCTAAAACCAGAACCAAGGAAGAACCTTCGCAAGAATGTCTTCTGCTACCTTGGGCAGGGTTGGGAGGCTTCTAGAACGTCTGCTAACCAACCCCAAGGGCCAATTCCAACTCCCTTTGCAAAAAGAAACTAAAAACAAGAATGCAGACACAAAGAAACACACTACATAAACAAATATTCTCTGATGGGGCACCCTTCCTAACTCATCAATCAGCAGAGAAATCAGAGGTTCCCCTTAAATGCCCTACTTCTTTTTTTCTCTATTTTTTTAATTCTTTATTAATTACACTTTATTCACCTTGTATCCCCCTGTGGTTCCCTCCCTTCTCCCATCCCAATCCCTCCTTTCCTCCCCTTTCTGCACGCATGCCCCTTCCCAAGTCCACTGATAGGGGAGGTCTTTTCTTTCCTTCTGATCCTAGTCTATTAGGTCTCATCAGGAGTGGCTGCATTGTCTTCCTCTGTGGCCTGGTAAGGCTGTTCCCCCTCAAGGGGAGGTGATCAAAGAGCAGGCCAATCAGTTCATGTCAGAGACAGTCCCTGTTCCCATTACTATGGAACCCAGTTGGACACTGAACTGCCATGGGCTACATCTGTGCAGGGGTCTTAGGTTATCTCCATGCATGGTCCTTGGTTGGATTATTAGTCTCAGGAAAGACCCCTGTGCTCAGATTTTTTTGGTTCTCTTGCTCTCCTTGTGGAGTTCCTGTCCTCTCCAGATCTTACTGTTTCCCACTTCTTTCATAAGATTCCCTGCACTCTGTCCAAAGGTTGCCCATAAGTCTCAGCATCTGCTTTGATAGTCTGCATGGCAGAGCCTTTCAGAGGCCCTATGTGGCAGGCTCCTGACTTGTTCCCTCTTTTCTCCTTCTTCTGATGTCCATCCTCTTTGCCTTTCTGGATAGGGATTGAGCATTTTAGCAAGAGTTCTCCCTCTTGATTAGTTTCTTTAGGTGTACAGATTTTAGTAGGTTTATCCTATATTATATGTCTGTATGAGTGAGTATATATAACGCCCTACTTCTTGAGCAGGTGGCTTCAGCAGATTCCTGGCCAATGCATCAGATGTTAGGTTCTGGAGTACACTGAAAAGATGACCCCAGAATTAAATAGCATGCAAGCACTAAAGGGCATTTATTTTTCAGAAATCCAGCATGCTTGGGTTGTCACCTTTACAACATGGCAGCAACCACAAAGGGAGCTCAAAGGCCCCTTTTAAAGCCAGAAAGAGGAATTCCTACTGCGGCTACATAACCTTGATTGAGATTGGTTGATCTCCATGGAAGCTATGTGACTCTAGTCAGGATTTAGGTGCTTTTCAAATGAGTAGTTAAGCAACCTTATCTTCCCAAGGACAGATGTCTTGGCTGTTTCTGATTGGTTTTTCTTTTTCTGTGGTTTTTTTTTTTTTTTCCTGTAACTCTTAGACCTGTTCTGTCTAGCAAGAAAATGATGCCTGTCATGGAGTTGGTCAGGCTTACTTAGCCAGACTCTCTCACTTCATGGTATGGAAATAGGCTGATGAGTGTGCCTTTACCTCTCCGTGTGTGCATGTTTTACTCTTCTCTGTCTTTGGAGAAACTTTCCTGAAGAAGAGAGGATTCACCTGGAACGACAGAGAAAGTCTGAAATTATGTCATGCTCTGTCTGCTCCCTGGATTTTATTGTCCTTTAAGGATGTGATGTTCTTTAGGGACAGTTTGGTGGCTTGTATTTTAATGAGACCAGTTGTGATTGAGGGTCAGGAACTGCCTTCATTTTAATAAGTAATGGTTGTGTCAAGAAAAGGTTTAAACTAACCATGTTGATAATGCACACCTGTAATCCCAGTATTTGGGAGATTGAGACAGGAGGAGGAGCTGTGGGTTCAAGGGCAGCCCGTATGAGTTTCAAACCAGCTAAGACTACACAGCAAGACCCTGTCCAGACTAGAAAGAGGAATAAAGAAAATTTTTATTTTTTTTTTTCAGTTTGCTTTGTCTTTTCTTTTCTTATTCAAAGGTATGACACTGTCATTTGCTGGAACATATCTGTTGGTGAATTTTGCTCCAAATATCACCCAGGCTATCTCAGCAAGAACAGTACAGTATTACTTTGTTGGCTGGCAGTTCCTGGTCTATGTGGTAAGAGTTCTAAATCTCTTATTGTTTCAAAAGTATAATCTCTAGACCACTGGTAGCTACAGTGTTAAAGCTACACAACCCTTTCTTGTCAGCACAGTGATTTACTAAAATGTAAGCATATATGATCTGTGCCCTTCCCTGCCGTTTGGGATTGTGGCTGCTATTGGTCCACAAGGGCAGATGGAGCAAGGACGACAGACGGGGAGTTTGGAAGTCCCGAGAGCATGGATGGAAATGACAACTTCCTGGGACCAGCTTTGGAGAGGCAGATCAATTTTATTCAGGGCAAACAAAGATTGTATAGAACTTTGGGAAGGGTATAGGGATATTCAGGGATGGCAAAGGCCATTGGCTCAAGGGCTAAAATACTGAGATGCCTCATTTACATGGAGAGGCATTCCAGGGATCCCTGGAGTTTGCTGAATGGGTTCTTATCAGGAGAAAGGGAGTTGGACCTATAATTTCCAAAGGGCTACATGACATTTCTCAGGTAGAAATTGTGGAGGTCTCAGTCCCTGGGGAGAGAAGCCCTCCATTTTGCACTGAGCTCAGGGTTTTCTCACCATGACAGACTGCAATGTTAACAGCAGAGTTTCCAGACAATAATCAGTACTGAAGGATTTGAGATACTAAGTGACTGTTGTAACATCTTTACAGAAAGTCCTTATTGAGGTCAAAGCAACAACAGTGGTACACACCCAAGGGATGTGAGGAAGGAAGGAAGGAAGGAAGGAAGGAAGGAAGGAAGGAAGGAAGGAAGGAAGGAAGGAAAGAAGAAGCTGGTATAATAGGCACTTGAAGACATTAATTGGGGTATTTTATTTGATATAGTGGCTGCATCTGGCAAGTATAAAGAAAGAACTAGATCAAAACAGTAGATATGTAACTTATTACAGAATGGAGCTAAGACTGGAGAAAAGAACATTCTAAAAAGGGGAAGTAGTAGAAAAAACTGGAATTGTCCAAGTGAGCATTTAGTTAAGCATTAAGCATTAAGAATTAGTTTGGCTTCTTTAGTTCTTTGTATATACTCGATATTAGTCCTCTGTCAGATAAAGGGTTAGTGAAGATTCTTTCCCAATCTGTAGGCAGGCGTTTTGTTTTGATGACAGTGTCCTTTGCTTTACAGAGCTTTTCAGTTTCATGAGGTCCCATTTATTGATTGTTGCTCTTAGAGCCTGTGCTGTTGGTGTTCTGTTCAGGAAGTTGTCTCCTGTGCCAATGAGTTCTAGGCTGTTCCCCACTTTTTCTTCTAACCGATTTAGAGTATCTGGTTAAAGAAGCTGAAAAGCAGCAAACCAAGTAATCCAATTAAAAAATGAGGAACAGAGCTAAAGAGAGAATTCTCGACAGAGGAATATCGAATGGCAGAGAAACACTTAAAGAAATGCTCATCCTCATTAGCCATCAGGGAAATGCAAATCAAAACGACCCTGAGATATCACCTTACACCCATCAGAATGGCCAAAATGAAAAACTCAAGGGACAACACATGCTGGAGAGGTTGTGGAGAAAGGGGAACCCTCCTCCACTGCTGGTGGGAATGTAAACTGGTACAACCACTCTGGAAATCTATCTGGCGCTTTCTAAGACAATTAGGAATAGTGCTTCCTCAAGACCCAGCTATACCACTCCTAGGTATATACCCAAAATTTGCTCAAGTACACAAAAGGGATATTTGTTCAACCATGTTTGTAGCAGCTTTATTTGTAATAGCCAGAACCTGGAAACAACCCAGATGTCCATCAACGGAGGAATGGGTACAGAAATTGTGGTATTTTTACACAATGGAATACTACTCAGCAATCAAAAGGGAGGAAATCATGAAATTTGCAGGCAAATGGTGGGATCTAGAAAAGATCATCCTGAGTGAAATATCCCAGAAGGAGAAAGACAAACACAGTATATACTCACTTATATAGACCTATAAGATATGATAAACATAATGAAATCTATACACCTAAAAAAGATAATCAAGAGAGCAGACATGGGGTAAGATGATCAATCCTCGTGTTGAAAGACAGAGGGGATGCGCATTGAACATTGACAGGAGCCTAATGAGTGCATTTGAAAGACTCTTAACTAGCAGTGTTTTCAAAGCAAAGACTCATGACCAAACCTTTGGCAGAGTACAGGGAATCATAAGAAAGAAGGGGAGTTAGTCTGATGAGGAAAGGATAGGAGCTCCACAAGGACCAAATTTATCTGGGCACGGGATCTTTTCTGAGTCTGACATGCAACCAAGGACCATGTATGAATGTAACCTAGAACCTCTGCTCAGATGTAGCCTGTGGTAGCTCAGTAACCAATTGGTTTCCCATAGTGAGGGGAACAAGGACTATTTCTAACAGGAACTCAATGACTGGCTCTTTGGCCTCCCCACCCCCAAGGGAGGAGCAGTCCTGTTAGGCCACAGAGGAGAGCTTTGCAGCCAGTCCTGAAGTTACCTGATAAAACAGGATCAGATGAATGGGGAGGAGGTCCCCCCTATCAGTGGACTTGGCAAGGGGCACGGTGGAGATGAGGGAGGGAGGGAGGGACTGGGAGGGAATGAGGGATCAGGACACGGCTGGGATACAGAGTTAATAAAATGTAACTGATAAGAAAAAAATAAAATTATAAAAAAAAAAAAAAAGAATTAGTTTGGCAAAAAAAAAAAAACAAACAACTTGTAAATTTGATAATGAAGGATAAAGTGTACAGACTCATACTAATTCTAAGACTTCTTACAATTATAAGTGACCTCAAAAGGTATCTGATCTAATGTAAAAAAAGATTACAGACAATATTAAAAACATGTTGTTGACATTTACAGGTTTTACAGGTAAACTTTGCTCGTATGTATAACTGTATAACTCAGGCTCATGTAACAGCAGTCTACATGACAAGAGTTCTCTGTCTCACTATCTCCAACATAATTCTCTGCTGTCTCCCTGTTTATTCCTTTTTCCTACCCTATAAAAAAAAGTTAATTTCTGTTTTTTAAGCATTGGTATTACATACACCATTAACAAACCATCCTGTAGCCTTCCAAGTCAGCCACTCTTTCAGCTCCCATCCACTTCTTTCTCATTACATCTAGTATCTCTCTCCATATATTGCTGACAGAGTATAGACAGGGAGAGAGAGAATTCTTGAACTTTGTGCCGTGTTCCTATCATCTCCTTGAATGTCACCTCTTCATTGCCTCTCTTGGTGTGTTTTACATTTCTGTCCTCTGAATAATGTATCTCAGGCTCTTTGCGAGCAGCTCCTTCTCTGCCAACTGCTGCCAATGTCCACTTATATAATCTATGCTACCAAGGTCTTCTAAAATGATCCTGTTCTAGTTTGTTTTTCTATTGCTGTGATAAACCATGACCAAAAGCAAAGGGGGGGGGGGAAGGAGGTTATTTGGTTTACAGTTTATAGTACATGTTCAACAGAAACTAAGCAAGAGCTCAAAGCAGGAACCTAGAGGTAAGAAATGAAGAGGAAAACATGGAGTAACAGGATAATGTGGCTTACTGGTTTGCTTACCAGTTCTCTCAACTTACTTTCATACACAACCCAGGATCACCTGTCCGGGTAAAACTACCCACACTGGCCTGATTCCTCCCATATCAGTCATTAAGAAAATGCCTCCACAGACCTGTCCCTAGGCCAGCCTGGTAGAGGTGATTCTTAAGCTAAGGTTCCCTTCCAGGGAACTAATTTCTCCATTGGCTATGCTTTTTACAGGTCACATTATGACTTAATTACCTATTTACCTGTCCTCTATTCCAGCAATGTCATTCCACAAAAGATTATTGGTTAATCAGTCAATCCATCAACACATCAGTGTCCTTCCTATAGAAACACTTGTGATGTATTAATATCCAGGCTTTCATTCTTGATTGCATAATTTCTGTCACTTCCCAACTCTTCTGTAGCCCTTGCTCGTACCTCAGTTTTGGGCATTGGGCATCCCAAGTCAAGCTAGCCTCCCAGAGTCTTTGATACTCTGTGCCCTCACTCTGCCCCATTTCTTTTCCTGCTTGCATAGTCTTCTAACTACCACAGCTTTCATCAGTCAACCCTAAGTGCTAGAAGGAGCTTGAATCTCGGGTTTACTTCTGTTCTTCACACTTTATTGAATATTTCATGGTAGGGCAGGCTTGAAATCTGACCAACACATTACGACTCTTTGCCTACAGGCAAAACAAATGCTTCATCTAGTAACAAAAGAGTGACATAGCCTGTGACCAGAAAATTAATAGCCTGAGTTGGATCCTCTGGAGATTAAAGATGCATCAAACCTTCTTTCCTGAAATAAACTACATGGTTTAATGATGATGTATCTTGTATTGTTTTTAATACCAGGGAACACATCTGCAATAGACAAAGCTGCCTTTTTAAATCTTCACTTTTCTCTGTGGTACTGGAGGTTGGCACTGTCTTACTTAGCACACCCTAGGCGTGTAGACAACTGCTGAGCCATAACCCTGCCCGCAAACTAGTTATCAAATCTTAAAGACCAACAAAAACATTCTAAATTTAATTACATTTTATTATTTTATAAATCTAACTTTTATATAATATTTTTAATCTTTGAGAACTATATACATGTATACAGTGTGTTTTAATTATAGTCTCTGGATTCCCCCTAACTCCTCCCAGTTTCACCCCTAATCCCCAACCCCTTCACAACTAAATGTCCTCAAAGGTAACACTTAAGTTCATGTATTTACTTAGCCATTCAATATAGTATATAGTATAGTACAGTACAGTATAATATAGAATATATTATAACCTGGGTAATAGAGAGGAATTCTTATAGACAAAAGCTTATCATTCTAGGAGAGTCCTCTACTTATAAAAAAAAAGCATATTATAATAATGAAAGCTATTTCAAAATAAATTCCACACAGAAAAGTTTAACTACTTTCAAGTATTTGTGAGATAGCATAAATAAGTCTTTAGTAAGTTACAGCTGAGCAGCACTTTACCCATTAGGAGACTGGATCAGTTTTATTTTTTTT